ACTGCACCCAGTTATTTTATTGTTACTGTTTGTGTATTTAGGAAGGGGTGAAGATCTTATACTTGTATTCCAGGCTAGCTTAAAACTTGCTACGTAGGCCAAGCATACCTCAAACTCATAGTGATTCTCCTGCCATCAGAAAGATTACAGACAGTGGTATTACAGATATAAGCCACCATGGCTTGAGCAGTGTTTTTTGTTGTTGTTGTTGGGTTTTTTTTGTTTTGTTTTTGAGACAGTGTCTCTATGTAGTTCTGGCTGTCTTGGAACTTGCTATACAGATCAGGCTGGCCTTGAATTCACTGAGATTCTTCTTCCTCTGCCTCCTGAGTGCTAGGACTAAAGCTGTGAGCCCCTATACCTGGTCTTGGGCAGTGATTTTTTTTTTTAACACTGAAAGGACTTTTTTATTTTTAAAAATTTATTTAATTTATCATGGTGGTGGCAGTGCATATCTTTAATTCCAGCACTTGGGAGGCAGAGGCAGGCAGATCTCTGCGAGTCTGAGGCTAGCCTGGTCTACAGAGTGAGTTCCAGGACAGCCAAGGCTACACAGAATCCCTGTCTTGAAAAAGCCAAAAAAAAAAAATTATTTTATTTTATGAACATTGGTGTGAAGGTGTTGGATCCCCTGGAACTAGCGTTACAGACAGTTTTGAGTTGCAATGTGGGTGCTGGGAATTGAACCCGAGTCTTCTGGAAGAGCAGCCAGTTGCTTTTAATGGCTGAGCCATCTATTCAGCCTGACTTTTTTCTTTCTTCTTCTTTTTTTTTTTAAATTTTTTAAAATTTTTTATTTTTTTGCAATTGTAATTGGGCAGTGATTTTTTAATGAACAGGTTTTGCTGGACATAGTGGCACATTCCTGTAATCCCAGTGCTGGGGAGGAGAGGCAGGTGGATCTCTACATAGGGAGTTCCAGGCCAGTTAGGGCTGCATAGTGAAACCCTGTCTCCAAAAAACCCACATCAAGGAAAGAAAATAAATCAAGGTGGAAATGAAGGAAGAGAACAGGAGAAGACAACAAAAACCAAGTCTTGTGTTGGATGTGCTTCCCAGTTTGGGTCTGTGTAGGTGTCCTGCCATACCAGCCGTCCTCCTTTTCTGGCTGGTGCTGTGTGACTTCTCAGAATAACAGCTCTGAGCAGCCCTGCCTGCCCCACCTCCATTGGCATGCATAGACCTTGCCTCTTCCAAAGAAACTCAGTTCCCTGAGCCAGCAGCGCGCACACGCGCACGCACGCACGCACGCACGCACGCACGCACGCACGCACGCACGCACGCACGCACGCACACCCACCCATCCATTGTTTCCTTTCCTTGCTTGCATTCATAGAAATGTCTCCACTTAGATTACAATGCGTGTACTGGTGCCATCTTTCTGGTTTTGTTCTACAGTAGTTAGCTGATTCCTACTTTCTTTGAAAGGTATAAAAATCCCCAAGTACATAGTAGGGTTTAAGACCCAGCTCATCACTATTTTGCCTGCCTGGTCCTGAGTATTCCCTGATAAAGTGTTTTGAGACATCTTAATCAAGAATTCTGTGCTGAACTGCCCTAGACGGGTCTGTCCTGTTTTGAGACTGTGTCTAATGAGCCCAGGCTGACCTCCAGTTCAGCTGTATAACTCAGGATGACCTTGAACTCCTAATCCACCTTCCAAGTGCTGGCATCACAGGAGTGACCACCATGCCCAGCTTGCCTTAGAGATTTCTTACATAGTACAAGCTAGAGAAGTCCCCTCCGGCTTCTCTGACATCTCTGCCTTCCTGTTCTCGTCTGAGAAGCCCACCTCTGTCTCCTCCATTCTACAGCATTCTCAGTCAAGCGAGTACCAGAGAAGCTGGATGCCGTGGTGATTGGCAGTGGCATTGGGGGGCTGGCCTCAGCTGCGATTCTGGCTAAAGCTGGCAAAAGAGTCCTTGTACTGGAACAACATAGCAAGGCAGGAGGCTGCTGTCATACCTTCAGGGAAAATGGCCTTGAATTTGACACTGGTAAGGCTTATGTGAAAAAGGGTTGGGATCATGGCTCTGTCTTTAGAAGGCTAGGAATGGGCACTATGGAGTGATATGGGGCACACACAATAGGGTAATATGGGGGCACCTCTATGTTTTGGAGATCCCAACTTCTTTCTGGGCATCTCCATTTCTGTCTGGCCTGGCAAGCATTGGGTGGTATATATTCTGGCACATTCCTATAGAAAGGGTGGGCAGCCCTCTCTGGGCATGAACTTGGCCAGGCAGGGCAACCTCTTCCTTAGTTGGCACATTTCCAGGGCCCGATGCCCTTATCCCTGTGCCTCCTTTTCTTTCCACCTCCCAACAGGAATCCATTACATTGGAAACATGCAGGAAGGCAACATTGGCCGTTTTATCTTGGACCAGATCACTGAAGGGCAGCTGGACTGGGCCCCCATGGCCTCCCCTTTTGACATAATGATACTAGAAGGGCCCGATGGCCGAAAGGAGTTTCCCATGTACAGTGGGAGGAAAGAATACATCCAGGGCCTTAAGGAGAAGTTCCCTCAGGAAGAAGCTGTCATTGACAAGTACATGGAGCTAGTCAAGGTAGCGTGCACCATGATCAGCATCCCCAGTTTATTTCCACCAAGACTGACTTTTTCATTGGTGAAGTAACTGGTTGGGAGGGACTGAGTTGGGGAGGCAGGCAGGCAGGACTAGTCATGTCTGTCTTGAATCTAGTGTACACTTGTATATGCCTGCACCCTGCCAGACTCTTCAGCTGCTACCCTCACTCTGGCCTCTAGATGGTACCCCTGGGAAGTCAGGCTTTGAGGGAGTCCTGAGATGAACCAGACTCCTTGTTTTGTGATTTTTTGAGACAGAGTCTCACAATGTAGCCCTCACTGGCCTGGAACTTAGAGAGATCCCCCTGCCCCTGCTGGGTGTATGCCATCAATCACACATGGACCAGGATGTTTGAAAGGAATTTGAGGGCTGGAAATGGCTCATGCTTATTAGCATGTACAGAACTCTGAAGTAGATCCCAAGCACCCCTTAAACTGGACCTGGTGGTGTATCCTGTAATCCTAGTACTCAGGAGGCAGAAGCAGGAGGATTAGGAGTTCAAGGTCACTGGGATATATATGGGACTCCATGTGAAAAACCATTTTTTTTTTGAGCAAGAAATGGAAGAGCAAATATAGTCTCATTTTAGTGTGAAGAATGAGAAAAATTTAGGGTCCATTTATTTGCTGTTAGTGTTTTATGGTGAGGGAGACAGTCTTGCTATATAGTCCTGGCTTGGGTGTCAGTGTGTAGCTCTGGTTGCCTTTGAACTCATGGCAGTCCTCCTGCCTTAGCTCCTCAACTGTTGGGATCACAAGCCTGAGTCACCATGCCTGCCCAGCTTAAATTTTTTTAAGTCCAGAAATTCAGCCACGAGTAAGTGTTGCTGGGCCTGCAGTCAGTGCTGGCTGTTGGAGTGATGCCTAGCTACAGCGGTTTCGAAGACTCACTCTACCCGTTTTTCCCCAGGTGGTATCCCGTGGAGTCTTCCATGCCATCCTACTGAAGTTCCTCCCGTTGACCTTGACTCAGCTCCTCAACAAGCTTGGGCTGCTGACTCGTTTCTCTCCCTTCTGCCGAGCATCTACCCAGAGCCTGGCCGAGGTCCTGCAGCAGCTTGGGGCTTCCCCCGAGCTCCAGGCTGTTCTCAGCTACATCTTCCCCACTTATGGTGGGTGGCTACTGGCCCAGGCTCTTCTAAGCTGCTGCCCTCCCAACGTTTGGTCTTTCTTTCCCATCTGCCTAGCTGACAAGCCAGAACAGACTAAGGTCTGCTGGAGTTTGAAGATAAGGGCTGAGAAGTCTGACCCCTGCTGGACTCTGGTAGAAATTCTTTTTTTCTACTTTCTAGATTTTTCTTCTCCCTTTTCTTTTTTCTTTTTGTCTTCTGGGCAAGCTTTGCATTCTTGTAGTCAAGGATGCCCTTAAATTCCTGATCCTTCTGCCTCCACCTCGCTAGTGCTAGGATTAGAGGTATTTGCCACTATGCCTGGTTTATGTGGTGCTGGAGATCAAATCAGACCTTCCTGCATGCTAGGAAAGCATCCTGCTAATTGAGCTACATTCCCAGTACATTTTCTCCCCCACATCCCTCACTCCTCTGAGACAGGTTCGGACTTTGTTCAGGCTGGTCTGGAACTCTCCGTAGCCGAGTCTGGCTTTGAATCAGTGATCCTTCCATTTTAGCTTTTGAGTGTTGAGATTGTAGGCATGTACTGTCACACTGCTCCAGGGCGATTTGTCTCTTTAGCCAACAGTGTCAGTGACTTCCTTGGTCTTGGCAGGGTAGTGGTTTTCGGGGAGTATTATTTATATTCCCAATAAACTTGGTATCTTCCCTGGGCCTTCGGGAGCATTTGGATCCTGGGATGGACTCACGTGGCCCTTCACAGGAAGCCCTGTTTCTTCCTGCATGGTGCCAAGTGACTGCTTTTGCCTGCTCACCTTTTCTTTCCTTCTTCCTTCTGTAGGAGTAACCCCCAGCCACACGACCTTTTCCTTGCATGCTATGCTGGTTGACCACTACCTACAAGGGGCATATTACCCCCGAGGAGGTTCCAGTGAGATTGCCTTCCATATCATCCCCGTGATTCAGCGGGCCGGGGGTGCAGTCCTCACCCATGCCACTGTACAGTGTGTGCTGCTGGACTCTGATGGGCGAGCCTGTGGTAAGAGTGCTGCACTGAGCTGTGGGGTCCGTGGGCTGGGGTGAAGGAGACTTGGGGTCTCCCTATAGATGAGCCAGCCTGTTCATGCAAGGTAAGAGAGAGGCTGGAGTCTAGGCTGCTGAGATAGCTCAGTGGATAATGTTCCAGCCACTAGACCTGATGAGCTCAGTTTGATTCCTACAGTCTACATGTTGGAAGGAGGGAACTGACCCTGCAAGCTGTCCTCTGAGCTCCACATGTGGACTGCAGCACCTCACTCCCACACAGAATAAAGGAAGAAAAATACAATTTTTACAGAAGATCAGGTTTGGCATAATGGTTTTATGAGAATAGCCAGAGATGACGCTGGACACACAGGCTACAGCGGATCACAAAACTTTGGTGTTTCATGAAGGTTGAGTCATCCGGGGAGTATTGTGGACGTAGAACTTGGCAGCAGTGAAGGAAGGCCCGGGACTCCATAGAACCAGTGTTCTTGGGACGGCAAGACATGGCTAAAGATAAGCAAGTCCATACGGGTGGGCGGGAAGAGCTGGAGGAGAAGGCAAGCACAGACGCGGCTGAGCCCAGGCCCGCTTTGCTGCGGAACTTCCAGGGCTGAGAAAGTAGGGTCTGTCCCAGGAGACATCTGGATAGTGTGGCTATAGACAGAACTCATCTTTTGAGGCAGGGTCTCATGTGGTCCAGGCTAGCCTCAGATTCACTAGCTAGCTGAGGCTGTCCTTAGAACTCCTGATTGTCCTGCTTCTACCTCCTAAATGTTAGCATTACAGGCATATGTCACCATGACATGGCTACAACTATAGCCTTGAGAGGAATGTATTTGAGGCTTTCCTGGATTTTGTTTTATGGGGGGTAGGGGTGCACTGAACCTAGGACCTCACACATGCTAGACAAGGGCTATACCATTGAGCTACATCCCCAGCCCTTAAGTGTTTTCCATTGGCACAGAGGTTGTGCTTAATCTGCTGCTGTTTTAGCCAGCAAACGTGGCTCCGCAGTTCCTGGCCCTCTTCTCTGGCAGCAGCCCAGCTACTCAGGCCGCGCCCTGGCGGGAATTCTGTTCCCGCAGACACTGGCTATGTTGTTGCCACTAAATACAGCGTTTAACTAAGTCTGTATCGTTCTACTTATCAGTGAGACTCGGGGGTCAAAGGCTGGGATAAGCTCAGAGAGGTTGAGTAGCAGCTGGCCGACCTTCTCTCTGCCGGCGTCTCCAAAAGAGAGCGTTCTTCTGCTCTGCCAAAACAAAAGAACCCATGCTACACTAAGCCCCTCCTACTACTTCCCGTGCGTTTATCATCTTACAGACACCCTATGACTCTCTGTGATTACTTTCTGTCAGCTAGTTGCTCACTCGGCCTCCTGACCCAAAGTTGATTTTATTTAATTAATGCAGACGCAAACTCGGGGCTCACAGTGTGATCAAATATCCCACAACACTTAAGAGAGATCTGGAGAAGGGTGTAGGCCCTTTTCTTCTTGAACTCCCAGCAGCTCAGCCAACTTCTTGTGCCTACAGGTGTCAGCGTGAAGAAGGGACACGAGCTGGTGAACATCCACTGTCCCATTGTCATCTCCAGTGCAGGACTGTTCAACACCTACCAGCACTTACTGCCCGAGAGTGTCCGCTGTCTGCCAGGTAAGAGGCTGGACTTCCGAACTGACATTTCATCTGTGGAGCTTACGACTCAGCCTGGGTTATAACTCTTCTTGGGCACCTCTCTGACTGTCTATCTCTGGTCTGTGTTACCAGCACCATAACATTTACATATGGGGAACCCAGGACCACACAGGGGAATAAGCCCTTCACAGAGGCAACAGCAGGGCTCTGAGGGCCCTGTTCTGTCAGATGCAAATGTCTGGACTCTATACTTCAGGCTGAGAAACCAAAGCCTGTATATTTGCCTTCCTTTGCCTGAGAAACTGGGATTTTAACAGAAAGGGACTCACTTAAAGGATGGAAGAGGGCTGGGGATGAAATTCAGTTGAGTAGAGCGCTTGCCTAGCATGCATCAAGCCCTGGGTTTGATCCCCAGAACCAGGCAAGACAGCGGTGGTGGATTTGGCTGTAATCCCAGCACCCTGAAGGTGGAGGCAGGAAGATAGGAAATTCAAGGTCATCCTTGGCTCCATGAGACCCTGCCTCAACAAACAAAACAAGGCCCATTGAGATGGTTCAAAGGGTAAAAAAGCACTTTCTGCTAAGTCTGGTGATTTGAGTTAGATCCTCAAGAGTGGAAGAAGATAACCAAGTTGTCCTCTGACTTTACCCTGCACATCCAGACATGCACTTATCCATGCACACCTACAATTAAAAAAAAAAAAAATCTAAACATCTAAAGAAGAGGATGGAGACAGCCTGATTGTCCAGAGGTGCTGAGTTAGCTGTGCTGGGAGCCAGCACCTATGTCTAAAGGTGCACAGAGCAGAGGTGGAAAGAGTCTGAGGCTATGTTTGACATGGTCAGGAAGAGACAGAAGAGCAGGTCCCTGGAGAAATAGCTGTAAAAATGGCTAGGTCTCTACCCTAGCTGGCAGCTGAGTAGCAAGCTGCAGATCAGAAAAGGGAACATCCAGAGGCTGACCTGGCAGGGAGCCGGTCTGGCCACAGCTCCTGCAGTGCAATCCTCACTGGCTCTCTCTCCAGATGTGAAGAAGCAGCTGGCAATGGTACGGCCCGGCATGAGCATGTTCTCAGTTTTCGTCTGCCTGAGAGGCACCAAGGAGGAATTGAAGCTTCCGTGCACCAACTACTATGTTTATTTTGACACAGACATGGACAAGGCGTAAGATGTGAGGGGTTGGAGAGGACTGATGGCACTGGACCTTAACCACAAGACCCCGCTTCCACCCTTGACACAGTTCTAGGAATAAACAGGAGGATATGTGTTGAGGGAGGAGGTGCACAGTCCCCGTGTACTCCTAGAAAGGCTTTTTATCCCAAAGCTGTGTCTGTTTCACCCCGTGGGGAGTATGGACCATCTTTTAGGTGGTGCTGGTGGCTTTGGGCAGGGGTGGGGTAGGGGGGTGGCCTAGAGATTGGCAGTCACACCTCCCCTCATCCACAGGATGAAACACTATGTCTCTATGCCCAAGGAAAAGGCTCCAGAACACATCCCCCTTATCTTCATTGCCTTCCCATCAAGCAAGGACCCAACCTGGGAGGACCGATTCCCAGGTAGGGCTCTAGGTCCAGGGGGAGTTGGGTGTGGGGCAAGGGAGGGCCAGGCTGCAGTAACATGGCCTTATACCTGCAGACCGGTCCACAATGACTATGCTGATACCCATGGCCTTTGAGTGGTTTGAGGAGTGGCAGGAAGAGCCAAAGGGCAAGCGGAGTGCTGACTATGAGACACTCAAAAGCGCCTTCCTGGAAGCCTCTATGTCCGTGGTCATGAAACTGTTCCCACATCTGGAGGGCAAGGTAGGGCTGACATACAGAGTGCTTTGTCTTTTCTTGGGTTCAGGGATAAAGCCTGAGGTAACAAGAGTCCCAAGGAAGGAGCAGCCCCTGCAATTCCCTTGCTCACTCTGCCCTGCCCTTTTGCCTCCTTAGGTGGAGAGTGTGACTGGAGGATCCCCACTGACCAACCAGTATTATCTGGCTGCTCCCCGAGGTGCTACCTATGGGGCTGACCACGACCTGGCTCGTCTGCATCCTCGTGCAATGGCTTCCCTAAGAGCCCAAACTCCCATCCCCAACCTCTACCTGACAGGTACAGTGCCTCACTTTGCTAGAATCTGGGCTTCCTTCTTCTGTTCCCATCCTCAGGGCTCCTTGGCCCCTTCAGCTCCCATGCCAGGAGCTGGGCTGCCTTGGCTGACTACAGTCCTGGGGTGGAGCTGAAGCTGTCTCTCTTTGGGTGGCCTTGATGTGGAGGGATGAACACAAGAACCCTTGCTCTATCTTCATATGGGTAGACATTTCATGGGTCACCATTTTTGCCTTCTAGGACAAGATATCTTCACCTGTGGGTTGATGGGGGCCCTACAAGGGGCCTTGCTGTGCAGCAGTGCCATCCTGAAGCGGAACTTGTACTCAGATCTGCAGGCTCTTGGCTCAAAGGTCCGGGCACAAAAGAAGAAGAAGTAGTCAGAGATAGGCCAGAGGAATGGCACCTTCCCCAACGCCTTTCTCATGGCGTCCTCCTGCAGCACTTCCTTGTGCATATACCCAAAGCCACTTTGTTTCTGTAACTGCTGTAAATCAAGCTCTTCACCTTTGCACCCTGCATTTCTACTTAAGGCCTAGTGTGGGCTGCATAAAATGTATCTCTGCTTGACCTTGTAAACACACCTAATACTACTACAAGTTTGATTGTAATGTCTAACTACTAACTTTCATTTCTTTATATCCTAGTAGTTGGTAATAATATCACTCAAGGATTAGCAAATTGCATTACACGGTTAAATGAACTGTATAGGTATAATATCTTGCACAAGATTAGAAATATATGTACAGCATTTTCTAACAATCAATCTCAAATTTGTATAAATATATATAATTTGTATGCAATATACAAAAATCCAATCCCATGTAAAATACTTAAAAAACTAGTAGCTCTTCTCCTTTGCACCTTTCATTTCTACTGAAGGCCTAGTGTGGGCTGCATTGTCTCACGATGAAGAATGCTCCCATGCCTTCCGCACACAACACTGAGCAAGGGTCAGGCTCCCAGAACCCCTGAGGGTGTTGGCTGGTAGAGTAGGTCCAGTAGGCTATTGGTCAAGTCCTCCCTGAAGTTTTTTGCTCCTACCCTGTTGTGCTCCTACAGTGTTGTGCTGCTGTCTGTCTGTCAGTGGGAAGGATGACTAGCATGGGTTTGGGTGCCAGCTCTCTCAAAGTGAGCCAAGAAATTCTCAGCATTAAGCTTTGTCCTCTGATAGAAGCAGGCTGAAGGAGCGTTCCAATCAAAGACATACCAAAAGACACCACTGCACCAACAAAATGAGATTTTGACTAGAGAATGGCCAGCCTGGTAGGGAGGGGACAAGAGTGGAAACACTGGGCCCAAATACAGGAAGCCCAATGTGCACAGAGCCTAGAGATGGCATTTGTAGTTGCTGGCATATAGTAAAAACCGAGTATTGTTTCCCAAAATGCTTGGAGTCAGAATTCCTTCCGATTTTGTAGTATTTGCATACTGATGAGATAACTTGGGGAATGGGATCCAGGACTAACCTCAAATTCATTTGTTTCACATACATAGACCAGGCATGATATCTTATGTAATATTTTGAAAATTTATGAGCATTCTATGATCTGTCATATGAGTTCATGTTATTAAAAAAGCTTGCTTTGGATTTTAGAACAGAGATTCTCAACTATATGAATAAATAGGAAAGTGGGTAAAAGTGTAAAACCTTTCACTTATGTTAAACGGGTACCAATTTTAGTTCATTTAAATATAGAATTAATACATGTAATGTTTCAATGCTTTGATATCTGAAGTTTATTTGGTTTTTGCTCAATAATGACATGAAACTACACTGAGATGCCATTTACAGAAGCTCAGTAAAATATACTGAAAAATACTTATTATACCACAATAAGCTTTAAAAAAATAAAATTAAACCATTCTCGTTAAGTTACAAAAAAGGTGAAAATACAAAACATGACTAACAGTGACAGTCTACTAATGGGTAGGCAAACAAGGAAAACAATCTCCACAGTCACTCATGTACTTAACATGGTGGTTTGAATTAAGTTCCGATCACAGTGTGAGGAGGCCACCTTCATGGCTGGTTTGCTATGTCATGCAAGCTGAGGAGTTTCTCAAAACTACAGAGTTTCTAAGCTAAAATACTTAGGAGAGTCACATCTGAGCAGGGAACTAAAGGAAGCGAGTCATCCTGATGTAGCTAGTTAAACCTCAACATCTCTTTACAGCTTTCTTTTGTTTTTTGAGACAGGCTCTCACTGTGTAACTCTGGCTGCCTTGAACTTGCTATTCTAGACCAGGTTGGCCTCAAACTCACAGTGATCCTCCTGCCTCTGCCTCCTGAGTGCTGGGTTTAAAGACTTCCTTCACCACGCCTGACTCCTCACAGGTTTCTTACGGCAATGCCAAACTGAACCTTCCTAGCAAGAGTTTATGTCAGGGAACAACACAGTAACACACTTAGTTTGGTCCAGAAGTGGCTTCTATAATCCACAGCAGGAAAATAAACTATTACCATCAAGGACAGGTAGGTTCCCTAAGAAATTGCCCTTCAGCCAAAAGCTGAGCAGGAGAGCAAGCTCAGAATAGTCTACAGGAGTGCTGCTTGAGGCTTCCTACATGCCAGCCCAGCCCCTGGTGTGGATGCCTCAGCTGGGCCATCACCAGCTACACACTCTAGGAAAATATGCTTCAAGTATTCTACCTTTAAAGAACAGTCCTGAAACTGACTTTTCTTTGGTGGGAGCCATCTCCTTACAGTGGAGCTTTTCAAGTGAAACCAATTCCACTGTACTCTGTCAGCACAAGAAATATTTGTCAGCAGTCCAGGGGGGAGGCTTTGTAGACTCTGGCAACATTTCATGTGTATGTCCACTTGCTGGCAATCTTGGATCCTGAAAATCAATCTTTCTTCTTGCCTCTCAAAAGCAAAGTCAACAAGTTTAAGGTCACAGAACCAGTAGCCAGGAGCGCCGGTTTCAGTTACATCTCCAAAAAGAAATTTGACCCCTTAAGTCCCTGGGGGTTTTCACAACACTAAACAGATACAACAAAGACAATGGCTGTCTCTCAGGGCTTAGTTTTCTTGGGGAGACCACAGCAACATCAGAACTAGTCATGCTGAAGTTCCAAGATGAAGGAGACAAAAAGCTATCAGTATGGAATGAGAAAAGCCAATCCACCGTTGAAGCTAGGAAGGAACATAAGCAAGTGAGCTGAGTCCTTCAAAACACAAGGACCTGGGTAAGCTGAAATGAAGGGGAAAGCCTAATCATAGAGCAACCATGAGAAGCTGGAATACAGAGGCCATGATGAGGGCAGAAGCAGAGAAGCAGTGTGGGTCTGAATGATGAAGCCAAAGAATCTAGTCTAGAATACAACTTCAGACAGAAGGAAGCTTCAGACCAGTGCACAAATTCTGGAAAGATCAATGTTTCCAAAACTGGCATGAGAAAAGGTCAGGAGAACAAAATGAAGAGTATATTTAGATACTTTCTTTAAAAAAAAAGGGGGGGGACTTCTGTGATAAGAAAAATGTTATTAGTTTGCAGTGTGGAGTTTTCAGATGATTAAAGAAACTGAACAATAGGTAGAGGAGCTTCATAGGTACAAGTGAGAAATTCTGGTTGGATGAAAACCAGACAATGTAGCTGAGTTATTTAGCATAGAGCAGAAGTGGGTTCTTGGGAAGTAGGCTTCCTAAGATCCTAAAGATAAAGATGAGTCAGAAAGGATAAATGGATGATTTGTTGAGGAGACAGTCAAAGCAATAGAGACCTGGCTTTGGGCACCCTACTCCCTTCCCACCATAAGGCCAAATTTGCGAGAGACACCCAAACTGTCAACATGCATGGACCCCAGCATCCACTATTCCCAAGTGTAAGAACAAGGTGAGACTGAGCTGTTAAATTTGGAGCTCTGTGAACTGAGTAACCTTGAGAGACAGGAGGAAAACAGACCAAGGCGAGTCTAATGTCAGGAGGAGGAAGCAAGGGATGGAAGCAAGAGCAACCAGGACAGGATAAGTACGGGCGTGCAGACAGGCTGGAGGGAAGCCTGCAGAGGCGCACAAACAGGTCTAAAGAGGAAGAGAAAACGGGAAGGGGGAGCTAAAGAGATGCTAGGGAAAGCTGAAGGAGACTGAGAAAGGCTTCCTCAGCTTGGAAAGTTAATAGTAGACTTGTGCGCAGCTGAGAGAATGGTAGCAACGATCTTATTTCCAGAAGGCAACCTGCCAAGAATACAAACTTCTACTTCAAGCACAAGCTGCAGTCAGCACAGGGAAAGAATCCCAGACTGTTTCTTCTTCAGACTGACTTCTCCCATCGTATTTTCCCTCTTGCCATTCTTTCCACATCCCTGAGATTAGCTGAGACTCTTCTTTCTTTAGGCATGACCATATAGACTGGAATAAAACTTCAGACAGCATAATCCAAGACATCCTCAGTTACATCAGGGAACCTGCTTGGTTTCTTACAGTTTCATGACGAGGTGTCACAGGAGAGAAACGATTTTACTCATTAACTTGGCATCTTGGATGGGAGGACCATTAAACCGAGCAAGGAAAAATGTGGAGAGTGTAGTTAGTTCCTAAATATCTATCTATCTGCTGTGGGCAATAAAGGAAATGGAGTTTGTGGAAACCCTCTTTCATGCAGACCAAATCCCTTCTATGTATTTCCTTCCACAAAGCATGAACCTGCCCCTTTCCAAGGAGTGCCTTCCTATTGGGGTGACTGTATGCAAGAACATACTGGTTCAATGATCATCACCTTATTAAGCAAAACAAAGCGAAAGCCCATGGAACAGTGTTTTTACTTTCAGAAACCCCAAGTTCCCTTCTACGCTAGTACAACCAAAGAGTGCAAACTTTCAGAAAAATATCCAGACTGTCAGATGGATCAGACTTTAACACTCTTTAAAGTTGCTACTCTGCTTTGCAGCTGAGGCCTCTGTAGAGAATAAGTGTTCAAAGCCCTCTGCCCATAAGCATCTCACCTTCTAGACCTTGTCTAGAAAGCACCTCCCTGCAGTTCCCTCCTAGAGCTGCAAAGATAAAAAGGCTATGGGAGGGTGGTCCATCGTGTGGCCTGCCTAGGGTGGGGTCTTCCTTTGTTCACAGCCACGTTTCCACATGTTCCCTCCTCACACTCCAAGAAAGAAAGGATGATGGAACACATCAGCAAAAGGGAACACAAAAGTAAATAAGACATCACCAGAATACAATGTCACCAAAGTGCAGGTGCAAAACCTGAAGCAATCCCGTCTCTGCCAGCCCAGACTTGCCACCAGACCCCAGAGGAGGTCAGTCTTTTCATTCTCTTGATTCGGAAACAAATCAGCAGGGAGGACAAGGTTCTTGCAGACAAGAAAACAATCAAAGCTGAAATGAGAGCAACACGTTCCATTGGTAACGTTCACCTTTTTCAGGGAAATATACTAGTGTTGTGATTTTGAAACTGAGGTTTAGGTGAAATGTCAGAATTGGCTTTTTTTTTTCTTTTTCTGGAACTGAGGACTGAACCCAGGGCCTTGCGCTTGCTAGGCAAGCGCTCTACCACTGAGCTAAATCCCCAACCCGAAATGTCAGAATTAAACTCATCCACCACCACGAAACAGAGTGAATAAAAATACAGGAGTCACATTAGTGAATATTAAAATCAATTTGAAATAAAATATGTACTAGAAAGTTAGACATTTAGCTAATGTGGTGGCTCATACCTGTAATCCCAGCACTTAGGAGGCTGAGGCAGAAGGATTATGAATTTGAGGCCAGCATAGATTACATCATGAGTCCTGAGATACAGTGAGAGACTGTCTCAAAAAACAAAAAAAAAAACAAAATAAGCTAGTGATTGACAGGAGAATGAGAGATACTTCCTTCAGCAGGGCAGCCACTGGTAAGGTGCCCATGCTCCTGTGAACAACTCCTAAGGAAGGTCACTGGGTCATTTTAAAAAAGTGTACTGGGAGTTGAAGAAATGGCTCAGTAGTTAAGAGCACTGGCCGTTCTTCCAGAGGTCCTGAGTTCAATTCCCAGCAACCACATGGGGGCTCAAAACCATCTGTAATGGGATCTGATTACCTCTTCTGGTGTGCCTGGAGACAGGTCACTCATATCCAATAAATAAATAAATTTTTTTTTTAAAGTGTGCTGGAAAGACAGTTGAGCAGTTAAGAGCACATGTTGCTCTTGCAAGGAGTGGGGTTTGTTTCCGAGCACCCACACAACAGTTCACAACTATCCTTAATTCCAGTTCCAGGGGATTCAATGACTTCTACTGGCACCAGGCACACCTGTGGTACATATACATACACGCAGGCAAAACACACACATAAAGCGAAATAAATAAACCCCAAAAATGTTACAAATGTAGAGGGGGACAAGAAAGAGTAAGGGGTGATGGTAAATATTATCTAAACCACACACACACACACACACACAAACATGTAGTGAAACTGTGTAATTAATACCTGCTAATAAAGAAACAAATGATGGCAGGTAGGTAGAATTAGGGCTTCTACTTTATACTCTCCTGTATTGTTCTGAGTAATTTTCATGTGTATTGTTCTCTTTCCAACTAAAACAAAATTCAGGAGGAAAAATCCTTAAAAGCCAGTTATCAAGGAAAGTAGCAGGCCAGAGCTAACTGTGAAGTTGACCTAGTTATGACAGATCTCTGAGCAGTGACTTAGTCTATGGTGCTGTGAAATGGGCAGGTGAACTGTTCCCTGCAGGAAGTCTCGGAATCGATCCTGTCTGGGTCACCCACTCTTCTTTGCCCATATCCTTCCTGTTGCTTAACAGAACAGGGCAGGTGCCTGTGGTAGCAGCTAATAGACTGACCATACAGTTACCTGTGGGGAGAACCTTCCTCAGCTCCTGCTGCTGAGGGATGGAAGGCAGGTTCCTCTCCCTGGCAGAGACAGATTGGCCACAATAAGGAGGCGAAGCCTGTAGTGCTGACCTGCGTGTGGGGTTACGTGAGGTCTATGTGCTTCTGGGCTCATCTGCTTTGAGAGAGTTGTGATCTGGGACTTTGCTGCCCATAGTGTAGTCTGGAAGCATCTGGTAATCCCCAGAAATGAGGACATAGCCCACACTTAGTGAATCAGATCTGGCTTTTTTTTTTTCTTTAAGATTTATTTATTTATTATGTATACAGTGTTCTGCCTGCATGCCAGAAGAGGGCACCAAATCTTATTACAGGTGGTTGTGAGCCACCATGTGGGTGCTGGGAATTGAACTCAGAACCTCTGGAAGAGCAGCCAGTGCTCTTAACCTCTGAGCCATCCCGCCAGCTCCAGATGTGGCTTTTTATCACAATGCTCAATGTCTATGGCAATGCTCATGTGTCAAGATACTATCAGATGCTGGTGTTGCCTTTGAGTGGAAACTCAGGACAAAAACAAATAAAAGAAACAAACAAACAAAATCACATTTCCAAACAGATCTGTTTATCTGTCAAATCTAGCTCTAACTTTGTAGATAAATATGTAGTCTATGGATGGTCCTATTTGCAGTCTCCAAGGACTGGGGACATTGACAGCAGCATCCCCAGAAGTGGCCCAACTCAAGTTTCACATCCCTCCTAGACCTGGCTCCTCCTTCCTTACCTTTAAGTTCAAACGCTGGTAGTCACTGGCCTTTGGCCTCCGAGTGACTTTGGATCTTTTTCCTTCTAGGGCAAAAGCAATAATCTGAGGAAAGGAAAGAGAAAACAAATTAACACTTGGCTCTGTAATGACGTTCTTCAGTTCCTGAAATCAGAGGCAACTACCTAGATCCACAAAGAGGCCTATTTAAACTGTCTATACGTTCTCCCTCTCTCTCTCATTTCAGTGCTGGAGTTCAAATAAGGCCTTGTGCATACTAGGCAAATGCTGTATCAAGCACGGGATAGAGCACTGTAGTAGAATGCTTGCCTAGCATGCACATACCTGAGTTCAACCTCCAGCACCACAAAAGTAATAAAGTTGTAAAGATTTTAAAAGGAGCTCGGTTATACTATTTAATAGGGATCAACAGATGGAGGGTGTAGCCTATGGGCATCTGTATGATTTAATTGCAGGGACAGAATCAAAGGTCTGTCAGTCCCCTTGCCAAAGAGCTCTAGGTCAGGTCTTGGGGGGGGCGGGGGAGAAGCTCGTAATCACTGATTGCTTCCTATCTACAAATACATGTTTTTATCCTACATGTTGCTTCAACAACTTCACTCTGATTTACCACGCTCATCATAAACATTTGGATGGAGAATGAAGAATGCACTTTTACTAATGGTCTTCCCTCATTCTTTATAGCCATATGCCCAATGGCCATCACAAATTGAATTCTCTAATTAAATCAGGTTACTGAAATTATCTTCTAAATCTCTTGGCTCACTAGGAAATACAATCATTTTCTCATCGGAGTTGTTTCTAAAGGACATGGGTGCCACTTTAACCTCAAAGACATTTAAGCAGTTTCTAGGTTTGCTTCTAACTCTTGTTGGTTACAGAAGAGCTGTCTGTGGGCTTTATGCTGCTGGTATTAGAGCCTATGTAACTGAAAACATTCTGTCTACAGATGGAAGACAGTTGGGATGGAAGCTAGAAGTGGTAACTGTCTCAAGCATGGAAAAAAGGGAAGAGGTCTACATATCAAGAACTCAGGTCCACAAAGGCTGTGAAAGATCTGAGTTCCAAGTTATGGGAGGAGAATCTCAATTAGGTCAGGTCATGATTCATGTCCAACTTGGCACTTTACAGCAGAAGTCACAGGAAACAGGTCACATGATGAAAACACATGACTTACAAAACTAGCGTTTTGTAAGCCCTAACAGGGTCTGAGGAAAAACTGAAGTTGCTCTTCAAATCCTTGGAGCTCACACGCAGATGAGTGACATATAGCTGCCCATGCGCCAAGCTCTCAGGGTTAGGGAAATCCCAGTCTCCTCTTACCTTCCGTTTGTTGTGGTAAGCAATATAGAGGACAGCAACAAGAACAGCTGCAGTCACCAGATATGCAAAGAAATGGCTGCTTTCTGCACTGGTGTTTCCAGAATTGTCCTTATAAGAGTCATCCTTCTCCCCATTCATAGAATCTGTAAGTGACCCCTCTCGGTTCTCACTGGAGGAAGGGTCCAACACCTTTTCATTCTCTTCTTCAAGTGGTGAGCCCTCTTCTGGCTCTGTATCACCCTCATCAGTCTCCTTGGTTTCCACATCTTCAGTAGGCTCTGAAGACTTGTCTCCTACCTCTGGCTTTAAAGAGAAGTCGGAGTCCCCCGCCGGTCTCTCCCCAGATTCAGTTTTGGAAGTAAGCGTTGGTTTCTGTCCTTGTTCAGCCAAGTCGGTTTTGTCAATCTTAGGAGTCTCCTTATCTGAGGAGGGTTTGGAGATGGGCTTGTCCGAATTAGCTTTTGTGGACTTCTTTGGATCATCTTTTGCGGGCTTCTGCTCAGGCTCCTCCTGTTTGGGGTCGGTTGGCGGGGGCTGCTGTGCAGTCCCAGTTGACGTGGTTTGTGCTTTCTCGGGCTGATTTTTGGGACCAACCGGCTCTCTTGCGGAGGTAACCTGCTGTCCAGATCCCGCCGAACTGGCAACTGCTGCCGCAGTCGGCTCCACCAGAGTCTCCGGGCCTACGTTAGGGGACGACTGCCTCTGCGCGGTCTGCCCGCCAGGCTCTTCCTGCTTAGAAGACGCTTTTTTCTCAGGAGGCGGGGGCGTGGGGGTCTGACTGGAGTCTTTTTCTACAGAAGGCTGAGCCGGAGGATTATCTTGACTTGGGGTGGCGTGTGTCGTAGGAGCAGGCGGCGACTCAGTTCCTGAAACAGAAAAAGCAGTAAGTCCTCGGAAGAAAAGGCCGGGAGAAGAGAAGGGGGCTTGACGTCTCCGAGCTGGAAGAGCTCAGTGGTGATGGCCGAATGGGAGAAGAGCGGAGATGGCCAGAGTCGGGTCAGGCAAGGAGGACGCCAGCTCCGGTAGCGACCCGCCCAGGTGAAGACGGGGGAACCTAAGGGAGAGAGTGGGATGAGCTTGGGGGGGGCGGGGGGGTCTTACTCGCCACTGCGACATTCAGCAGGAGCAACGCAACCAGGAACCGCATCCTGGAGTCTGCGCTTCCGCCCTCTACTGCTGACGTGAGAGCGGCGCAAGGGACTTGGAGCGCGTGGCCCCTCCCTTTCCGGTGGGCTGTTCCTTTTCCGGCGCAGCCCCGCCCCGGGGCGGGGCTATGGGGTTCCGATAGTGTGCGGGGCGTCGAGTCCGCTCTGCCTTCCTCTTTTTCTCAGCTCTCCGACGGGCCCCGCAGTCTCTCTCCTGTTTACTCGTCCACGTGCTTTGGAAACTGTTCTGACCGGCAGGCACTGCGTCGCCCCTCGTGGCTCGTGATGTGGGGTCGCGGGGCCGGGAGCCGCTTCGCTGCGTCGTCTGCCGGTGTTTCTGGCTCCTCCGATGCTGGTGGTGCTTTTCTCACGCCACACAAAAATGTAATCTGTTCGGGTCTTTCCCGTCTAGAAACAAACACTTCGTCCCTTTCGTTCCCGGTCCTAATCCCTTTCTTGAGGGTACCTAGGGCCCTCTGAATTTACCACGGATTTTTTTTTTCCCTAAATTTTTGTGTATGAGACGGTATTGCTCTGTAGATAGGCTAGCTAGCCTCAAGCTCCTGCCTCCCAAGTGCTTGGGATTACATGTGTCTCACCACGCCCCTCTCGGGCCATTTATTTATTTATTTATTTAAGACATACGATAGCAAAGATTTATTTTTATTTGTGTGTACCACCTGTGCGCGGGTGCCCTTGGAGGCCAGACGAGGACGTCGGATCCCCCAGAGCTAGAGCTACGAGCGGTTTCAAACATCTACATGGATGTTAGGAACTGAACTCTGGTCCTGTGGGCGAGCAGCAAATGCCCCTAAGTGCTGAGCCATCTCTCCAGTCCAGGACATAAGGTCTCTTGTTAACCAAACAGAGGAAGACCTGGATCTTCTTACCTTCCTACTAGATTACAGGCTTGTATCCCCAAACCCAATTTATGTGGTACTGGGGATCAAACTCATAACTTTGTACACTAGACAAGAACTCTGCCTCACCCCAGTAATTTTTTTTTTCCGACGTAGGGTTTCTCTGTGTAGCCCTGGCTGTCCTGGAACTCACTCACTCTGTAGACCAGGCTGGCTTCAAACTCAGAGATCCGCCTGTCTTTGCCTCCTGAGTGCTGGGATTAAAGCCGTGTGCCACCACCATCTGGCAGTAATAGATTCTTAATAATTCAAACAACAAAGCAGAATTTTAAAAGAAATATACTTTTAAGTACAAAGTCAGGATGTTTGAAGGACTATCTGGTAGCAATTGATTAACCACAGGATGTTCCAATGCCGGAGGTAGTCTATAAAGTTTGACAAATAACTTTAAACTACATAGTAAGATAACACAGAAATTCTGGAAAGCCCCTAAAACTTGAGCCAATCAGAATGGTACCCGTACTAGCACCCCTAAGTGATGTAACCTTATGGTTTTTGCCTTTAAACTGAGCTTGCAGAGGGGCGGGCACCTCCTCCAGCCTCTACTGTGTTGGATGGCTTGATGAGGTCCCTGCCGCACGGCTTGAACTGCTTCAATAAACCTTGCTTTTGAATATCGGTTACGTGTGTGTGTGTGTGTGTGTGTGTGTGTGCTTTTAAAATTTCTTTTAGGGAAAAATTTTTTTTAGGGAAGCTCGGCAGCATGGTGAATGCTTTTAATTCTAGCACTCAGGGGGCTGAGGCAGAGGGATCTCTGAGTTCCAGGCCAGCCTGGTCTAGTTCCAGGACAGCCAAGGCTACACAGAGAAATCCTGTCTTGAAAAATAAATTTATTTTAGAGGCTAGAGAGATGGCTCAGTGGATAAGAACACTAACTGCTCTTCCAGAGGACCCAGGTTCCATTCCATTCCCAGCACTCACAACTGTCTGTAATTCTAGTTTCAGGAGATCTGACACCCTCTTTTGACCTCCACAGACATTGTATGCATATGGTGTACAGACATACATGTAGGCAAAACATACATTTTTAAAATTCTTGCTGCCTGCTCATCTATGGATTACTATTTGGATTCATTTCTTGTGTCTTCATCTGTTATAGTACTGGGTTGTTTAAATAAGTTGCTTGAAATCATTTGTGAACATCTGCCAGGGTTAGGTATTTTGTAAGCAGTGATTTAACAAATTGTTGTTGGTTGTTTTTACTCTTACTCTTTGCTCTTTCCACCACCCAGCCCCCAAATAAATCACACATGGAGGACTATTATTACTTTAAATGCCCGACCTTAGCTTGGCTTGTTTCTTGCCAGTTTTTTAAAAATGATCCCTTTGGCCTCTGTCTGGCTTTTGCCTTTCTCTCTTCTGTATTTCTTCACTTCTCACTCTGTGGCTTGCTGTGCAGCTGGGTGCCTGGCCCTGTGGAGTCCTCCTCCTCCTCTTTCTTGCTCCTCCTTGATGCCTCTTCCTGTCAGCTGGTTATAGACGCAGCCTCCCGACCCCAGGTTAATTTAATCTAGTCAAACAAACGTAACACACCTTTGCATCATTAAACAAATATTCCACAGTAGAAATGAATGTAACACAGATTAACATTCCACAACAAATAGTAGGTCCTAGCCGAAACTAAAAGTCCCAACAACTGTGTTCATTTTGTTTTTGTTGTTTTGAGAGAGGCAGCCATAGCAGGCCTGGAACTCACTCCAAAGAGCAGCTGACCTTGCACTTGGCATCAATCTTCCTTCCTCTGCCTTTAGAAATGCTGAAATTGGGCTGGAGAGATGGCTCAGCGGTTGGGAGCACTGCTTGCTCTTCCGGGGGTCCTGAGTTCAATTCCCAGCGACCACATGGTGGCTCACAACCATCTGTAATGAGATCTGGTGCCCTCTTCTGGCCTGCAGGGATGCATGCAGACAGAACACTGTACACATAATAAATAAATAAATCTTAAAAAAAAAAAAAAAAAAAAAAGAAATGCTGAAATTACAGTTGTGTGCCACCTTGCCAGGTTCTATGGTCCTTAATACCCTGGAGGTTTAAGACAGAGGCTATTTTAAATAAAATTATTGTGTTATTCTTTTATGTGTATGGGTGTTTTGTCTCCATTTATGCCTATTCAGCATGTGCTTGTCTGGAGTTCAGGGAAGCCAGAAGAGGGCATCCGATCCTTTGGAACTGGGGTTAAGAGATGGTTGTGAGCTACCATATGGGTGCTGGATATTGAACCTGGGGCCTCTGGAAGATCAAGCAGAGCTCTAAATCTCTGAGCCGTCTCTCCAGCCTCAGAGGCAAAGGATCTTTTGAATTACCAGAATTTGGAGGCCAGTCTGAAGAAAAACAAGTAAGAGTTAGTCTCAAAAGTACCTAAATAGCCAGTCATGGTGGCGCACGCCTTCAATCCCAGCACTCAGGAGGCAGAGGCAGGCGGATCCCTGTGAGTTCGAGGCCAGCCTGGTCTACAGCGTGAGTTCCAGGACAGCCAGGGCTGTTACACAGAGAAAGTCTGTTCGAAAAAACAAACAAACAACTCAAACAAAAAAAGCAAAGCCGGGCGGTGGTGGCGCACGCCTTTAATCCCAGCACTCGGGAGGCAGAGCCAGGCGGATCTCTGTGAGTTCGAGGCCAGCCTGGGCTACCAAGTGAGTCCCAGGAAAGGCGCAAAGCTACACAGAGAAACCCTGTCTCGAAAAACCAAAAAAACAAAAACAAAAAAAAAAAAAAAAAAAAAAAAAAGCAAACAAAAAAGACATAAATAAATATGAGTTTAATTTCATAAAGCATGCAATCAGGTGAGGTACATACATATCACAAAGATGTTTGCCCCTGTTTGCTGGAATGGTTAATTTTTATTATCGACTTGATGGGCTTTAGAATTACCATGGAAAGAAATCTCTGGGCATGCCTGTAAGGGATTATCTAGGTTAGGTTGACCGAGGTGGTAAGACCCGCATTAGGATTTCACAGGCTGGAGTCCTAGACTGAATAGAATGTAAACCAAGGTGAGCACAATATACAGTGTTCCTGCCTCTCCCCTTCCTGATCATGAGTTCAACATGACCAGCCACTTCCTGCTCTTGCTGCCATGATTTCCCTGCCGTGATGGACTGTGTATTCCTGGGAACTATAAGCCAAAGGCAACCTTTAAATTACTCTTGTCAAGTAGTTTGCAGTGACATCCAGATAAATAACTAATAGAATACATTCTAAGAGCTACCAAGCAAAATGTGAAACGTGTGTGTATGCTGAGGAGTGAACCATAGGACTGAGGACCAAAGGTTGTAGATATTCCTGGGGAATAATGAAAGGAGAGAGGGATGAAGATTTCTGGCTGAGTGACCAGCACATGCAGTTGTGAACCTGGTGTTATGGGTAAGCCTAAAGAGAAGGCTTGCTGGGTAACAAGAATGGGAGAGAAGGAGGCTGGAACAGAGCCAGACCGAGAAACAAACGAGAAACAAACAGTTTACTGTTCAGCTACTCCAGCCAAAGAGGACAGTAGCCACAGGGAAAGTAACACTCTGTGAGAAACCTGAATGTAATATGATATGACCTGTAGTCCTGGATGGCTGAAATATTTCAGCAACTAGTACATGACACAAATACAGTTTCAGAAACAAGTGCTTTTTCTGTTATTTGAATAAAAATCCCTTTCATGTGCTCCTCACCACTTCTCCCCCCTCCCTTCTCCCTCTCCTCTCTTCTTACATTACTGAAGAGGGAATAAAAATCATAGAGATGTGAGAAGTCACCAGATTATTTCAGGAACCAGACTATAGCTCAGTGGTAAAGTGCTGCTTGCCAGACATGTGAAAGGCCCTGGGTTCAGTCTCCAGAACTTAAACACACACACACACACACACACACACACACACACACACACACACACACAACACACACACACTTTAGAATGTTGACTCTGCCTTGGCTAGAGGAAGTGAACTGGTAAATGAATCTTTTTCTAAAAGAAAATTCTGTCCGCCTGCTTTTAAGATAAATGTTTGACTAGCATTTAAGGATATTGGCTTAGTGAGGGTGTGGGTGGGTGGGGAGGGTAGTGGCAAATTATTAAACCTGACCTGGTGTCCATGTTGCTAGGCAGGGCAGGAAAAAAGTTCTGATCACAGAGAGCTCTTGGGCATTTGTATTTTATCTAAACAGTAAAAGAAACCATTGAA